CCCCCAAAACCCCAAAACCCCAAAACCCCAAAACCCCGTTTAGCCAGCTATTAGTTGAAATAGATATTTTAGGTTAAATTCTTCAGAAAGTACTTATAATGATGGTGGAGATAAGTCAGGGAAAGCTGTTTATCAAAAAGCGAGGATTTTGAATGATATTTATGGATTTTTGGAAATTTGGGAGCCGAAATACTCACTCTCTCTTTCTTCAATAATTATGTTCTCTTCTCTCTTTTTGATTTTCTCAATATTTGCTAATCTTTTCTTGTCATCTTCTTTGTCGAAATTACTTTTCTTTTGGCTAGGTTCTTCTTTAGAGTACTTCTCTTCTTCTTGAAGCCTCCCTCCCAAATTTTGTCTTTCTATAGATTTTCTGACAGCATTAAGGGCATTTGTATTAACAGGAGCTGGTGGTGGAGTAAGGTTTTGGGGTTCTTCTTCTGCCTTCTCAAGAGTTTCCTCAGTCAAGCTTTGCTGTAAATTTATCATAAATCTCTCAAAATCACTGTGGGTCACTTTAAGTTGGTCAGCAACAGCTTTTCACTCGAGTTCATTTTTCTTACGATTTTCTTGACAGTAATATTTCTGAGTTTTCAGATCCTCTAATTGAGCATTTAAGTCAGAAATTCTTTTATCAGCATACTTCACATTCTTCAGATAAAGAGTATTATTCCTATTAATATACTGTAAGGTTTCTACATCATTTTTAAACTTTTCATCAAAATCCTTATTTCTCCTTCTCCCTCTCCTCATCATTATTGGGTATATAAATATCTTCCTTTAAATCCTTTGATAACTTCTGTATGATCGCTTTCTGGATATCAATATTCTCATCTAAACCCAAATTATCCCTATTTAAAAAATTTCCTTTATCCAAAACCCACTTCAAAATGCCTAAAACTGCAAAACTCCAAAATCCTCTCTCACTTACTCTCAGCCTTGAGAATACCTTTATAGTTATTTTCAAACTCAGAGTTCTCAAGTTTAAAGTCTCATCTGTCACAAACTCTGTATTTCTTCTTGTCTATTCTGGAGAGGATTCTTCTGCTACTGCCGCAGTCGTTGCAGATGCACCTACTGCATCTTTTACAGTGTCTTTTTTTCTTGGTGAACAAAGAGAATTTTACTTCACAGAGTTGACAAGAATCTGAGTCTTGATAGTTATTTACGGACTAGGCGCACGTCAAAGTTTTCAGGAAGGTTTGTGTTGATTACTTTTAGCTAGAAATTAGGTTAGGGATTTTGGAAGTGCAAGGATATTAATCTAGCCAAAATATAGAAAAATTGATTAGTATGACTTACGTTTCCGATGTTGAATGTACTCTGATATGCATTGCCACCACCAGTATCTCTCTTTAAGGCATTCTTATTCGCATCAAATAATGAAAGATTTCCTGATCTTGCCTGAGGAAGGTATGTGCTTTGTGTATTCTTCCTATCAGCTGCGAAGAACAAACTTGAACCCATACTGTTCTGTTTCTTAAATTGGTGTTTCCTAGGACTCTCATCACTGTCTGAAGAGACCATAGAAGTTCTTCTTGGTTCCATAATTGATAGTAGTAAATTTTATAAAAATCCCAATAAAATTACATCTTTTAGGGGTTTTGGGGTTTTGGGGTTTTGGGGTTTTGGGG